AGATCTTCTCAGACTTCTTTTGCCTATCCCGGGGGCAGTCACTATCCTTGGAGCTTGACTACACTTTGTCAAATTTTGTTAAACTACATAGTAGTGTATTTGTTGGAATATCTGATTCCTTGTGTTGTAAGCTTCTGGAGAGCAGGGACTTCTTTTTTTTTTTCTGGAAAATTTCAAACAGTTACAAAAGTAAAGCTAATAATAAGATGAATTCACACACTCATCATGCAGCTTTGGCAATTATTTTGTGGCCAGTGTTGTATCATTTATACTCCTCTCCTCAAACCTGGATTATTTTGAAGCAAATTTCAGACATTGGATAATTTCATTAATATTCCAATTGTATTACTAAAATATAAGGTATCTTTACAAAAACATAATCACAATACCACTATTGCACTAAAAGTTAATACTTCCTCAATGTCTTAAAATAGTCACTATTCTGATTTCTGCAACTATCTCATAATTCCCCCCTTCCCTTCTCTTTCCTTCCAGCCTTTTTTGTTCCTTTATTTCTTTCTTTGCCTAGCCCCCCCTTAAAAATCCAAGTAAGGGGCTTTATTTATTTTTTAATATTTATTTATTTGAGAGAGAAAGAGAGAGGCAGACAGAGGCAGAGGGAGAAGCAGGCTCCCCACTGAGCAAGGAGCCCAACGTGGGACTCGATCCCAGGACCCTGGGATCGTTACCTGAGCTGAAGGCAGACGCTTAACCGACTGAGCCACCCAGGCGCCCCGGGCTTTATTTTTAATCTTCATGTTCTCATCAGCCCCTGGCTTAGTGCTTGACATATAGAAATCCCCAGTAAATGTTTAATAAATGAATGACTCATCAGAAATCTATAAAATGCCCTAGTTGAATGAGTGTAGCCTTATTGTCATATTTGGTTGGTTTCCTGGGGTGGCTTTTGGTTTCTGGTACTTTAGTTAGGGATTAACTTAGATGCTGGCTACTCTCAGCCATTACTAAAGGTTTGAGGACAGTGAGTGTGTCTGTGACTCAGACATTTGCATGCTAGAAGGAAATGGGCTGGGTTTTCTTGTTTCTGTTTTTTGTCCCTAGTCTCTATTTCACTTTGAGTTTGGACGACCATGTTTGGCTTTTTTGCTATTTCTTCAAAATAGGGATGACCCTGAAGGAGCTCCTTGAGAGCATGAACATAGTTCACTTTGCGATGGTAGGTTTTGTACCTGATAGATTGAATTGGTTGCTCCTTCACTTACTTTATTTTTATTTTTATTTATTTTTAATTAAAAAAAAATTTTTTTTTAAAGATTTTATTTATTTATTTGAGAGAGAGAGAGTGAGAGACAGAGAGCATGAGAGGGAGGAGGGTCAGAGGGAGAAGCAGACTCCCCGCCGAGCAGGGAGCCCGATGTGGGACTCGATCCCGGGACTCCAGGATCATGACCTGAGCCGAAGGCAGTTGCTTAACCAACTGAGCCACCCAGGCGCCCCACTTACTTTATTTTTAAAAATTGAGATAAAATTGAAATACATTGAAATGCATATAGATCTGGGGTGCCTGGGTGGCTCAGTCAATTAAGCATCTGCTGCCTTCTGCACAGGTCGTGATCCTGGAGTCCCGGGATCAAACCCTGAGTTGGGCTCCCTGCTGAGCAGGGAGTCTGCTTCTTCCTCTGCCACCCCTACCCCCCACCCCCACCCCGGCTCGTGTTTGTGCTCTCTTTCTTTCTCTCTCAAATAAAAAAATAAAATCTTAAAAAAAAAAAGAAATGCATACAGATCTTAAGTGTACCATTTGAGTTTTGGTAAATGTATAAACATCCATGTAATCACCACCTGAATTGAGATGTCAAATGTGACCCAGAAAGCTCCCTTGTGCACCTTTGCAGTTAATTCTACCCCCTATGGTGAATCCTAACATCATTAATTATTATTGCCTATTCTTGAGCTTCATTTAAATGGCATCATATAGTGTGTGCTCCTTCATGTCTAGCTTCTTCTGCATAGTATAATGTTTTGGAGATTCATGCATCTCATTTTAGCAGTAGTTTGTGCCCTTTTTATTGATGACTAGTATTCCCTTGTATAGATATACCACAATCTGTTTATCCATTCACATACTGATGGATATTTGTGGTTTCCATTTTTTGGCGATTATGAATAATGCTGTTTAGAAACATTGATGTATAACTCTTTGTGTGGATATCTATTTTCATTTCTCTTGGGTGGATACCTAGAAGTGGGATTGACTGTATATTTAACTTTATAAGAAAATGTTAGACTCTTTTCCAGAGTGGTTGTGTCATTTTCTATTTCCGCCAGCAATATGAGGAATACCATGTCTTTCCCATCTTCACAACAGGTGGTATCAGCAGTCTCTTAAAGTTTAGCTACTTGCCGATAATTTTATTTTGAGTACTTCTCTGTGCCTTGCAGAATAGATTATTCATTTTATGCCCATCACGTGGAATATTCTCCTAACTCCTCAGTTTTTCAATTTTACCTATGTTTTAGGTCAGTGTTTCCTGAAACAGAATATACGTGAGAATTACCTGGTAGTCTTTCCAAATAACCCAGGTCTCACTGAAGACACACTGTACCAGCAGCTTTCTCAGGGATTGTTCATGGGCTTAATATGTATGTTGGAAAAGTTCCCCAGGTAGTTCCAATTTCTATTCCTAGCTAAAAACCACTGCTTTGAGGCTCAAGTCCTACCTGTGATAACAGAGGTTCTTTATCCTGCCTACACATCAACAGGATCTGGGGATCTTTCTTTTTTTTTAATTTTTTTTTTTTTTAAGATTTTATTTATTTGCGAGAGAGAGAATGAGAGACAGAGAGCATGAGAGGGAGGAAGGTCAGAGGGAGAAGCAGACTCCCTGCCGAGCAGGGAGCCTGACGTGGGACTCGATCCCGGGACTCTGGGATCATGACCTGAGCCGAAGGCAGCCGCTTAACCAACTGAGCCACCCAGGCGCCCCAGGATCTGGGGATCTTTCAGTACTCACCAGTGCCAGGATTCCAGCCTGCACCAATGGAGTTAGAATCTGGGGGTGGGGCCTGAGTGTCAATTGTTTTTTAAAATTTCCCCATCATTCTAATGTACAGCCACATTTCCCATTGGATTTCTTTCTGTCTTCTCTTGTAGCATTTATACCTTTTTATTTTTATATTATAATACTTTTTCATGTCTTATTTCCTGTCTTAGGCATTATGTTCCTAGCCTTTCTCATTTCTTTGTCTTTCATGGAGTCTGTCACCCACATTTGTAGCACAGTAGGTGCTCAATAAGCATTTCACGAACACATGAATTGGTCATCAGAAAAAAGATCGCAGTCACAGGTAGGTTGTTTCCTGAGTCTCAGAGTCCCTGTCCTCCCCAGGGTTGGAGTTGTGATGACCAGTAGGGGTAACTCCTCTGTGAGATAACAGAACCTTGCCCTGTTTGGTATTTGTTTTCAGGCATATCATTGGGACTAAGAATTATATGTGTATATGGGGTAGAGCAGCAGGGTTGGGTAAGGAGACAGATCTAATTAGAATGGAGGAGTTATACTAGAGTTGTGGTAAAGAAGGTAAGAAATATTAGTAAAGAGGAAGAAATTTGATCTTACCTGATAGGCCAGGGTAGGCCACTACAGACCCTTGAACAGGAGAGTGAACCAGTTTTTAGGAAGATAGTGAGGCAAGAGTGAGCAAGAAAGATTTTAATAGAGAGACCAGAGACAAAGAGTCAGGCTGTACTTCCAGCAGAGTTATTGAGGGCCTGGGTTGTTTAGGGTCACGGGAATCGACAGAACAATGTACTGAGAGGTGTTAAAGGACCATCAGGTTTTGTGATGTATCGAATCTGGGAAACCAGAGAGCAATGCGGAGGAAACAGTGGTAGTGTGGAAAGATGTGGAAAGAGAAGAGTGAGTTGCTGGGTAGGGCTGCGGGGGTGGGGATGGGGGCTGCAATTTAAATAAGGAGGAATTTCAGAAGGTGTTTGGATATGAGTGTCAGGAGTTCTGGGAAGCAGTAGGGGCTAGAGATACAGATGCAGGGGCCATCTGCAGAGAGGCCATCGAAGCTATGGAAGGAGGATCGTGTGGAGGTGTCCCGTCGGGTCTCACTACTAAATCTGGTGTGGGGCGTGATGCACAGGCCGGGGTGGAAGGAGGAGAATGTCCAAGAAGGAAAAGTTGTCCGTGGTCTTAGACATTGTAAAAGCAAACGTGAGGATGGTGAAGATACCTTTGAATTGGGCTAAGGACGGGTACTGACTTCCTGCTGCACCTAGCGGTCTTGGGTGTGGATGCGCCACCGCACAGGGGCCAGGAGATACCAGGTGACAAGGACGGGACGCGGCACACATGCTTCTATGGCTTGGAAATGAAGGAGATGATAGAATAGGCTAGTACTTAGTGGGGTTAATAAATGAAGGGTACTCAGGTTAGAATACCCTAGAGAGGCGTCTGTGTGAATGGACCTGTGGAGGCTCTGAGCCCAAGCTGTCTGCTGCATCTGAGTCACCAGAGCCACCCGTGCAGGAAGCGTCACTGGTCCCTAATAAAGAGGCCTGGAGATCTTCTTTTTTTTTTTTTAAAGATTTGTTTATTTATTTGACAGAGAGAGAGACAGTGAGAGCAGGAACACAAGCAGGGGGAGTGGGAGAGCAAGAAGCAGGCTTCCCGCCAAGCAGGGAGCCCGATGTGGGACTCGATCCCAGGACCCTGGGACCATGACCTGAGCTGAAGGCAGACGCTTAACGACTGAGTCACCCAGGCGCCCGAGGCCTGGAGATCTTTTACTCATGGAATCACGTCTCTCAGAAGAAAATAGGCAGTTTCTTCCAAGCAGGTTGAAGCTATGGGCTGTCATTTCTAGACAGACTCACTTTGTCAGCAGGCATGCAAATGACTAGCTAATTTTCTGATCACTGGATCAAATATCTGTAGACTTGGGCTCATTCTGACTCCCAGTTCAGCAAGTTCTCTTTCTTCCTGTAAAGAAGATATTGTCTAAAGCAGTATCAACCGTGAGGCAGCAAGTTCATGTTTACTTTACAATTTTTATTATAAATATAGAGATTTTACAAATAATTCAGAAGTGGCCCTAGCCAGACAAAATTAAATAACACAGAATAGCATGGATGAGGGGAAGTATATACAGACTGTGTCAGGGTTAGAAAACCCTTGAAAGAGGTACCTGAGTACAGAGAATTCCCAACTCGCCCTCTTTGAGGGGCCTCAGACACAGCATGACATCAAGTAATCAATATCGAATAAAACCCCTTTCTCAACAGCCCCAAAGAGACTGTGTGGGAGAAGGCTGGGTAGGAAGTACGTTGCCTTTCCTTCTCCTGCCCTTCCTTTCTATTCTGCACACTGGGGCTCATAGACCCCCATGGGAGAAAACATTTCCGAGGCTATTCAAGATGCCTCTGACCCAGTTATCACCCTCCCCTGTCCTGACACCCCTCACAGCCCTGGTTCCCCAGGAGCATCAGCACCAGGGCAGCTTTCCAGGGAGGTAAGCAATGCCAACAGGGGCGTGAGTGTGTTCCCTTCAGGGCACCCCCACTTCTCAAGGACCAGTGGAACCTTGGCAGAGGCCAGGTCTCCTGAGAAAGTGAGTGGGGCACACACCATGTGCAGCAGAGACGTGGAGAGCAATGGCGGTTGAAGACTGGACTGAGATGCCGGGAAACTGAGTTAGACCCAGTTCTAGCCACGAAGGAGGAAAACCGCTGCTACTGCTTTTCTGTTTTGGAGCCCCCGACATAAACACCTCGAGGAGCTCCTGGCCGAGGGGACTTGAGGGGTCTTGGTGGCTTCTTTCACTGAAGGCAGTCAGGTTGGCTTACATAGCTAAGTAGAAATAGCCCCTTTCACACAAACAAGCAGTTGCAAAAACTAAAATGGCAGAGTATCTCAGGGAAAAAACCTAACACACCAAACTGCATTCTTTAACAATTATTTAAATAATCTCTGAAGGGTAGCTCTCTGACTCCTTTCCCAAATTCCCAGCTGATTATCTCTACTAAGAGCTGACTGCTCCCTGAAGCTGTAAGCCCTCCTTCTGTGGGCTTATGAAACATACATACATTTTTTTTTTTTTTTTGCATTTTCCATTAGGAATCACCTGTAGACCTCAGTGAATAATTTTCCTAATTGCTTCCAGTGGGTTCTCTGAAGACAGGCTTGTCAAATGGCTTAGGTGGCTTTCTAGTTAAGCAGCAAGGTGTTCAGGCCCTGGTAGACAACTTTGACAGTAGACAAAGGTATAGTTCAGCATCCCCATTCAGCATATTTGTTTTCCTGTGCAGGGTGGGGTTCACACGGGGCTTTGAAGAGATATAAGTTTTTACTTTTACTTCTTCTCTCTCTTCTTTTCTGGCACGTGCATTTTAGTGGATCAGGAGAGGACTCTCAAGGTAAATTCAAGTTAGACTCCAGTAGGGCAGGACTGGGGCAGGAAGGAATGACTATGCTCTGAATAGGTAAGTTTAAAACAAGGGAAGGAGGAGGGGCAGAGGTTGTGGCAACTTCCCAACGTCTGCTTTGCCAAATTTCAATGACAGGGAAGCTTGGGTTTCCTAGAATCCCGGATGTACCTTTTCATCTATTGACACTGAAGGGAGGGGCTATGACCAGGCAGCCTGGAGGTGCCTCGTTAGGGAGTGAGGTGGGGAAAGAGGCTTCCTCCCCTTTTCCCTGAGGGTAAAGGGATCCCACAGTGATGGGGATGAGACGCTTGGAAAGAGTGAGCACAGAGAGCAGGACAGGTTGCGAGCAGGACAGGTTGCGAGCAGGACAGGTTGCGTTACTTCTTTTGTACTTCTGTATACACCGTTTCTGTGTCTGCTGGGGATGGGGAGGCTGAGGTTGATTTCTTTGGTTCCTGGGCATTGAAGTTCAGGGAAGAATATGCAACTTCTTCAATCTGAAAAGCATGAGCAGTGTGGTCAGTTAAATCAGAGGCATAGGTCAGGCCCTCACCTTGTGTGCTGTGATTCAGCACCATGTGCTATCACCACTTTGAAACTTTTAGCTTTGGAGAAGGGTTTTTATTAGCCACGATTACTCTGCTTGCTAACATCCTGTTGAGTGATCATTAGAAGAGATAGATTATAGTATTTATTCATACTGGAACGCAATGATACAGCAACTGAGAACGGACAGTCTACAAATGCATAGAAGGACATGCATGAATCTCACAAAACAATTTTGAATGAAAGAAGCTAGACACACACAAGGATGTACAATGTATCCCATTATGTAAGAGCATAAACAGACAAAAGTACTGCATTGGAAGTCAGGATAATGGTTACTCTTTGGAAGGAAGTAACTTGAGGGGTTTTTTTGGGGGTGGGGATGACATGTTTTATTTCTTGACCTGGGTGCCTTTTGTGTTCAACTCGTGAAAATTTATACATTGTTAAAATATATTTATGATTTAAGCACTTTTTGGTATATATGTATATTCTACTGAAAGGTTGAGAAAAATTTGGTTAAATTATGGTAAAGTAAAGGAACCAAGATCTCAGAACCATTAGAATGGACATCATCCTTTGTTGGTAAGAGCAGGGTCAGTGAAGGTAGAGGAGGGAGAACCATCTGGTGCCTTATGCTGGTCACTGTGCTGGGTGCTTTCCATTGGTCGTCTCATTTGATTCCTTCAACTTCTCTTTGAAATAGGCAGCATGCCCATTTTACAGATGGCAAAGCCATGGCTCAAAGAGCTTAAGTTACCTGTCCAAGGTCACAGAGCTATTGAGAGTCACAGCCAGGATTTAAACACAGGACGGGGTTAATTCCGAAGTCCACATTCATGTAATGAGGATTACTGGTTAATCCTTTGTTGCTGCATTGAGGAATTTTGACCCAAACTTGATCTCACATTTGTATCTTCAAGAATAACCCATTCTACACAGAGATACTTCCATGAGAAAATCAGCCACTGAAACTGGTTGTGCTTACCTTGTTAGACAAATTGTCAGAGTGTTCCTGACCTGGGGAAACAAAAGAACAGTTCCCAATCCATGAAAATGCAAAGCTCATTTATGGCCTTAGAATGGGGGTTGGGGGGTGAGAGCAAGGGTGGGGAGGTGGGTCCTAAACTGCTGTGGTTTCTAGCTGAAGGAGGTAGCAGTTGGCGGGAGGGTGGGGTAAGGAAGTGGCCTATGAATGCTTGAGGAATTCACTTTCCTCAGAGTTGGGGTCCAGACCCAGGGCATTGGTACCAGAGGAGGGGTAAGAGTAGAGCCACAGGAGACCTCAGTCCACTTCTGACAATTTCTTCCAGTTCACAAGGTCTTGATTTTCACCCAGATGTACTTCTCAGCAACAGGCTTCAGTGGCAAGGAGGGACATTGAGGCCCACAGTACAAGACAGGGAAAGTCTCACCAAAGGAGAATGCCCACATCCATCATAGAGGCGGGAAGGGGAGGAGTACAGGCAAGGAAATGACTCCTGGAAACAGGTTCATCTTGCTCAGGCCTGCTTGGCCCAGGCAGTGAATGTTTCTCCCAGGGCTGTCTCAGGGGAATCTTTTGTGGCTAGAAGGGTGTGAGGACCTATGCCAACCTAAGGTTGGGAAATGGAGATCCCCTTCCAAAAATTCAGAAGGTAGGAAGTAGTTTGGGATTCCAGGATTCCCTGCTAGGGCAGGGCACATGGTGGAACACACCAGGTCTCACTGGGTGAGTGGCTTTACTTACTGTGGTTGGAGGCTGAGGGTTTGTGCTCTGTGACATCACGCAGGTCACTTGCCCTAAATAAATATCAGACACTGTGACTGCCATTCCCAAGCATAGGATCTTTGCTCCTTGAATTAGGAAGGACATTGTCAGCAGGTAATTCCTTGGGGTTCCTCAGTGTTCATTTATACCACGGTTGGTACTGCCTTTCCTCTTAGGGCCTCCTCCTTCAGTCTACCCACAATCTCCTCTAGGATTTGTTCCTTTCCTGTTTGCTGGATGTCCACATGTGGGTCCATTGTTTATCAGTTGCATCTGAGCCTACTTGTACCCTGACACCTTTCCCCTTTTGTAGGTAGATGCTGGTTTTTGTCTCACTTTTCTTATTGTCCAAGAGGCTTTGGTTGTTTTTGCCTTTTCTTAGGTTCTCTTCCTCTCCTATCCCTCCCTCCTACGACTGTCAAAAGAGCATGCGAGACTCACTTTCTCCTGCTCCTCCTTTCATTTCCTCATTTTTTTCCTTCTGGGACCTTGTCTTCCCTGACTGGGAGACAGAAACATAGGGGGATGGGAATGACTGTGTCCAAGAGAGAGTGGGGTCCAGGAAGCATGAAGGGATCCACACGAATTAGTGCTGAGAAGCAAGAGTTTAGAAAGAAGGAGGAGCAGATCCAGGTGCAGAGACAGGGGCAAAGTCTCCTTCCCTCTCCCAAGCATGGCAGTTAGCCTTGGAGAAAGCGGAACAAGAGGAAAGGTCATCATACCCGCCAGTCTTTCTGATAAACAGAAAGTACACCAGGGCTGCTATCACAACAACCCCAGCCAGGACTCCAATCACGATGCCCGCAATAGCCCCAGGTGGGAGGCCAGAATTTGGTTGCGTTAAATCACCTGTCATGGAAAGAAGAGAGAAGAATGAATGAAGGTGACATTATTTTACAGTGGGGGTCCCCTGGGGGACAACTCTCAACGTGTAGTAGTCTCTACTTGTTCCTTCAAGGAATACATTTTCTGTGGGAAGGTTGCTGTGAGGTGGTTAGCTGACTTCATCCTTCAATTTTTTTCTCTCACTGTATTTTTAGGCTGATGATCAGACTTGCCTCAATTCTATCCTGGCCTTTCTGCACTCAGATATTTTTGAAGGCTTTGGAAATGTGAGAAAGGCTGATTGCTGTTTTTCTATAGCTTCCCACCTTTTCATGGTTGCATGTTTTTCTGTGTGCCAGGCGTGGCAGCCATGAATATGTGCCTCTCAGGTCTCTTGTGGTGAGGACTTAAGTGATGGAAGGCCTGGAGAGTGCATTCTGAATTCACCATCTCCTTTGCACAGAGACCACACTTCCCACAGTAGGGGGAAGGGATATGAAATAAGCCCAATTCTATGAGAAACCGTTTTCCTCTTAAGGGTGACTTGAGCTCAAGGACCCCTCCCCCCATCACCTTGCAGACAGACACCCTTGTAGAACTGCACTTCTATCTAAAACTTTCTTCTGTCACATCTGCACGACAGCCTGAGGAACCTCCCAGGCTCCTCCCACTCCTGTCTTACCCTCACAGACATTTTTCCCAATAAATAAATAAAGATTTTTCCCAATAAATATAAATAAATAAGTAATCCCACTTTGGCTGCATCTCGGGGGATAAACACTAACATACTAGGCTTGAAACTTTGCATTCGACTCCTTTTTTTCCTTTCCCATGTTCAGTCAGTAACTATGTCCCAATGACTAATACCATTTGCATCTGTTTCTTCTTTTTTATTTCTATTGCCCTTACCAGCCAACTCAAGCCTGATGTATTAATATTTTTTTAAAGATTTATTTATTTATTTGAGAGAGAAAGAATGAGACAGAGAGAGCATGAGAGGGGGGGGAGGATCAGAGGGAGAAGCAGACTCCCCGCCGAGCAGGGAGTCCGATGCAGGACTTGATCCCAGGACTCCAGGATCATGACCTGAGCTGAAGGCAGTCGCTTAACCAATGAGCTGAAGGCAGTCGCTTAACCAACTGAGCCACCCAGGCGCCCGAAGCCTGATGTATTAATATTAATGTTAGCTACTATTATGGTGTACTTAGTATGTACCAGGCTCTGTGGTAAATACATATATCTCATTTGATCCATATAATAACGCTTTCAGATAGACATTATTTCCAGATGAAAACACTGTGGCTTAGAGTAGTGAACAATTTACCCAAAGTCATATGGCCAGTAAAAGGTGGATCTAGGATTTGACTCTAGGACTACGTGACTTCATAGAAGCTAATGATAATAGTAGTAGTAATAGCAGCTAACACTTATGGAACATTTTCTCTGTGTGTAGCATTTTGCTAAGGGTTTAATTGATTATTACATTAAATCTTCCCATGAAGCAGGTACTTATTACAATTTTCTTTTCTTTTCTTTTCTTTTTTTTTTAAAGATTTTATTTATTTATTTGAGAGAGAGAATGAGAGAGAGAGAACACATGAGAGGGGATAGGGTCAGAGGATGAAGCAGACTCCCTGCCGAGCAGGGAGCCTGATGCGGGACTCGATCCCGGGACTCCAGGATCATGACCTGAGCCGAAGGCAGTCGCTTAACCAACTGAGCCACCCAGGCGCCCCAATTTTCTTTTCTTTTTAAGATTTATTTATTTGAGAGAGAGAGAGAGTGAGAGAGAGAGAGATCACGAGCATGGAGCCTAACGCGGGACTCCATCCCAGGACCCTGGGATCATGACTTGAGATGTTTAACTGAATGAGCCACCCAGGTGCCCTCTTATTACAATTTCCAGTTGAGGAATATGAGGCTCAGAGAAGTTAAGAATCTTGTGCAAGAAATCTGTAATTGTAGGGGCACCTGGGTGGCTCAGTCGTCAAGTGTCTGCCTTCAGCTCACGTCATGATCCCAGGGTCTTGGGATCGAGTCCCGCATCGGGCTCCCTGCTCAGCGGGAAGCCTGTTTCTCCCTCTCCCGCTCCCCCTGCTTGTGTTCCCTCTCTCGCTGTGTCTTTCTCTCTCTCTGTGTGTCAAGTAAATAAATAAAATCTTTAAAAAAAAAAATCTGTAATTGTAAACACTTACATTAAAGAAGATCTCAAATCAATAACCTAACTTTGTAAGGAACTGGAAAAAGAAAAACAAACTAAACCCAAAGTTAGCAGAAGGAAGAGAATAATAAGGATTAGAGTGGGGATAAATAAAATAGTGAGTAGAAAAACAATAGAGAAAATCTATGAAACCAAAAATTGATTCTTACAAAAGATGAATAAAATTGACTTTAACTTAAAAAAAAGATTAAAATTACTAAAATCAGAATTGAAAGTGGGGGGGGGCGCCTGGGTGGCTCAGTTGGTTAAGTGACTGCCTTCGGCTCAGGTCATGATCCTGGAGTCCCGGGATCGAGTCCCACGTCGGGCTCCCTGCTCGGCGGGGAGTCTGCCTCTCTCTCTGACCCTCCCCCCTCTCATGCTCTCTATGTCATTCTCTCTCTCATATAAATAAATAAAATCTTAAAAAAAAAAAAAAAAAAAAAAAAAAAAAAAAGAATTGAAAGTGGGGGAAATCACTATCAACTTTATAGAAATAATTATTATAAAGTAATAAATATTATAAAAGTACTATGAATAATTGTATGCGAACAAATTGGATAACCTGGGTAAAATGGACAAATTCCTAGAAACACAAAACCGACCAAGATGGAATCATGAAGAAATAGAAAATATGAAAAAACCTGTAACTAGTAAGAAGATTGAATCAGTAAGAGCATTCAACAAAATTCAACATCCTTTCATGATAAAAACCCTAAAAGTAGTAATAGAAGGAAACTGCTTCAATATGATAACGGCCATAGATGAAAAACCCACAGCCAACATCTTACTCAATGTTGAAAGACTCAAATTTTTCCTCTAAGATCAGGAACAAGACAGGGATGCCTGTTTTTGTCACTTTTATCCAAAATAGCTTTGAAAGTCCTAGCCAGAGCAATAATTAGGCAAGAAAAAGAAATAAAAGGCATTCATATTGGAAAGAATTATAAAATGATCTTTGTTCACAGATGACATGAACTTACACGTAGAAAACACTAAAGGTTCCACAAAATCTGTTATAACTAATAAACAAATTCAGAAAAACTGCAAGATACTAAATCAACATACATAAATCAGTTGTATTTCTATACACTAACAATGAATAATCCAAAAAGGAAATTAAGAAAATTCTATTTACCACAGCATCAAAAATAATAAAATACTTAAGAACTAATTTAACCAAGGAGGTGAAAGATGTATACACTGAAAACTACAAAGCATTGCTGAAAGAAATTAAAGACATAAATAAATGGGAAGACATTCCATGCTCATGGATTAGAAGACTTAAGATGACAGTACTACCCAAAATGATCTGCAGATTCAGTGCAATCCTGATCAAAATCCCAATGACATTTTTTTTTGCAGAAATAGAGAAATCTATCCTAAAATTCATATGGAATTTCAACGGACCCCAAATATCTAAAACAATCTTACAAAAGAACAAAGTTGGAGGACTCACGTTTCCTGATTTCAAAATTTACGGCAAAGCTGTAGTAATCAAAACAGTGTGGTACTAGCATAAAGACAAACAAACAGACCAATAAAACAGAATAGAGATCCCAGAAATAAAACCTTACATACACAGTCACACCATTTTTGACAAGGGTGCCAAGACCATTCAATGGAGAAAAGTCTTTTCAGCAAATGAAGTTGGGAAAACTGGACACCCATGCAAAAGAATTGAACGCTTACTTAACACCATATATGAAAAATTAACTCAAAGTGGATCCGAGACCTAAATGTACGAGTTAGAAGAAAACACAGGGTGAAACTTCATGACTTTGGATTTGGCAACGATTTCTTGGATATGAAACTAAAAACACAGGCAATAAAAGAAAAAACTAGATAAACTGGGCTTCAATTAAAATTAAAAACTTTTGTGCATCAAAGGACACTATCAACAAAATGAAAAGACAACCCACAGAGTGGGGGAAAATATTTACAAATCACGTGTCCCATAAGGGTTAATATCCGTAACAGAGAACTAAAACTCAGCAACAAAAAACCTAAGCAAAAAATGGGCAGAGGGGGCGCCTGGGTGGTTCAGTCATTAAGCGTCTGCCATCGGCTCAGGTCATGATCCCAGGGTCCTGGGATCAAGCCCCGCATGGGGCTCCCTGCTCAGCAGGAAGCCTGCTTCTCCCTCTCCCACTACCCATGCTTGTGTTCCTTCTCTCACTGTGTCTCTCTCTGTCAAATAAATAAATAAAATCTTAAAATCTTAAAATACAGATGTACTAATGCTACTAATGCTACTGAACTGAAAACTGAAAATGGTTAAAATCTTAAACCTTATGTATATTTTACCACATGAAAAAATGGTAACAGAGGAAAAACGGAATCTTGTGTAAGGTCACACAGTAAATGCCAGACCTAGGATAAGAAACTGAGTATATCTGATTCAGAGACTTAGCTCTTAACCACTCTGCCATTCTGTTTCCTGAAATGGTCTCTTGATTCTATTCTGCTCTTCTGGCCTCTGTGACTTCTATCAATTTTGCGCATCATTAGTAGAGTAATCTTCCCAGGAAGATGTAACACGGGGCAAGGTGTCAGTTACCTTCCACAACCAGTTGGACAGGGTCACTTTGACTGGAACTGCCTGGGTTGGAGACCTCACACTGGTATTTCCCGGCATCCTCCTTCCTGACAGGGTCTATGGTGAGGGTGCTGTTGTCCTGGGACAGCTTCATCCTCTCTGTGAGCTTTAGATTCTGGCCATTGAAGAGCCACCCGATAGAGACCCCAGTGTTATTTGTGGAGCAGGTGAGGACCACAGAGTCCTTATTTCCTGTGACTGTGGTGTTGCTGGCATGGAGAGAGGGCCGGGCCACTGGCTCTGTGGGGAAACACAGGAGGTAATGGAATGAGAATGGGCCTGGGGCATTGGGTCACACTCCTTCCCCTGAGATGCCAGCCATTCGGAGGGCCCCAGCGAGCTCTGTAAAGGTGCCCCAGAGGATGGCCCTGCTGTCTGCAGAAGGATGAATATCTTTGTTCAGGTGACGATCTGTAAGGAGAGGGCTGTACCTCCGCCTCTGACCCTTAAGTTCCCTTCTGGCCCTCATTCCTGTGTCTGCTCTGCCTGGACATCTCTGTAGTATCAGCACCAGGAACCTCTTCTAAGCCCACATGTCCAGCATCCTCATCATCAGGTGGAATTTTTTACCCAGTGGCTTTCCTGAGACCCTTTCCTAGAGCTTTCTTTTCCTAAAAGGTCAGGCCCCTTCTCTAGTATGGTAGCTTTACATAGAAAGGGAAGGCATTTCCCTTTTATTAAAGAATTTATTAGAAAATGAGAATGGGGGGCATCTGGGTGGCTCAGTCGTTAAGCATCTGCCTTCGACTCAGGTCATGATCCCAGGGTCCTGGCATCGAGCCCCGTGTCGGGCTCCCTGCTCTGCAGGAAGCCTGCTTCTTCCTCTCCCACTCCCCCTGCTTGTGTTCCCTCTCTCGTTGTGTCTCTCTCTGTCAAATAAATAAAGAAAATCTTAAAAAAAAAAATGGGCAGAGGACTTGAACAGACATTTCTCCAAAGAAGACATCCAGATGGCCAACAGGCACATGAAAAGATGCTCAACATCACTCGTGATCAGGGAAATGTAGATAAAAACCACAATGAGATATCACCTCATGCCCATTAAGATGACTATTATTAAAAACAAAACGAAACAGAAAACAAGTGTTGGCGAGGATGTGGAGAAGTTGGAACTTCTTTGTATTTGCTGGTGGGACTGTAAATGGTGCAGTCACTGTGGAACTGGTATGGCAGTTCATCAAAAAATTGAACAAAGAATTACCCTTTGAGGCAGCAACTCCACTTCTGGGTCTATGCCCCAGTGAACTGAAAGCAGCGATTTCAGTAGATATTTGTACACCCACGTTCACAGCAGCATTATTTATAGCAGCCAAGAGGTGGAAAAAACCCGAAAGTTCATAGACAGATAAATGATAAACAGAATGTGATACATACACACGAGGGAATATTATTCAGCCTTAAAAAGGAAATGAAATTCTGACACGCACTACTACATGGATGAACCCTGAAGACGTTGTGCTAAGTGAAAAAACCCAGACAAACAAAAAAATAAATATTGTTATGATTCCACTTAATCTTAGAATAGTCACATTCATAGAGACAGTAAGTAGGACGGTGGTTACTGGGGTTAAAATTGGGAGTAGGAAGTTACTGTTTAATGGATGGTGGTGATGGTTGCACAACAATACAGATGTACTAATGCTACTGAACTTAAAACTGAAAATGGTTAAAATCTTAAACCTTATGTATATTTTACCACATAAAAAAATGGTAACAGGAAAAAAGGAATCTTGTGTAAGGTCACACAGTAAATGCCAGACCTAGGATAAGAAACTGAGTATATCTGATTCAGAGACTTAGCTCTTAACCACTCTGCCATTCTGTTTCCTGAAATGGTCTCTTGATTCTATTCTGCTCTTCTGGCCTCTGTGACTTCTATCAATTTTGCGCATCATTAGTAGAGTAATCTTCCCAGGAAGATGTAACACGGGGCAAGGTGTCAGTTACCTTCCACAACCAGTTGGACAGGGTCACTTTGACTGGAACTGCCTGGGTTGGAGACCTCACACTGGTATTTCCCGGCATCCTCCTTCCTGACAGGGTCTATGGTGAGGGTGCTGTTGTCCTGGGACAGCTTCATCCTCTCTGTGAGCTTTAGATTCTGGCCATTGAAGAGCCACCCGATAGAGACCCCAGTGTTATTTGTGGAGCAGGTGAGGACCACAGAGTCCTTATTTCCTGTGACTGTGGTGTTGCTGGCATGGAGAGAGGGCCGGGCCACTGGCTCTGTGAGGAAACAGGTGATGGAATGAGAATGGGCCTGGGGCCTTGGGTCACACTCCATCCTCTGAGATGCCAGCCACTCCGAGGGCCCCAGCGAGCTCTGTAAAGGTGCCCCAGAGGATGGCCCTGCTGTCTGAAGAAGGATGAGTGTCTTTGTTCAGGTGACGATCTGTAAGGAGAGGGTTATACCTCTGCCTCTGACCCTCAAGTTGCCTTCTGGCCCTCATTCCTGTGTCTGCTCTGCCTGGACATCTCTGTAGTATCAGCACCAGGAACCTCTTCTAAGCCCACATGTCCAGCATCCTCATCATCAGGTGGAATTTTTTACCCAGTGGCTTTCTTGTGACCCTTTCCTAGAGCTTTCTTTTCCTAAAAGGTCAGGCCCCTTCTCTAGTATGGCAGCTTTACATAGAAAGGGAAGGCATTTCCCTTTTATTAAAGAATTTATTAGAAAATGAGAATGGGGGCACCTGGGTGGCTCAGTCATTAAGTGTCTGCCTTCGGCTCAGGTCGTGATCCCAGGGTCCTGGGATCGAGCCCCACCTCGGGCTCCCTGCTGGGTGGGAAGCCTGCTTCTCCCTCTCCCACTCCCCCTGCTTGTGTTCCCTCTCTCGCTGTCTCTCTCTCTCTGTCAAATAAATAAATAAAAAATCTTTAAAGAAAGAGAAAGAAAGAAAGAAAGAAAGAAAGAAAGAAAGAAAGAAAGAAAGAAAGAAAGACAAGAAAAAGAAAAAAAAAGAGAACGGCCCAGCCAGTCTTTGTGAGCTTAGGACCTGGAGAAGTTCCAATCTAAAGGGCTTCTCAATCGGAATCAGACTTTTACTTCCTGGCCTGTGGATTGCATATTACAGGGAGGAAATCTTTAGAGTAGTGGTCACAGTTTTAACAGAAGGCTGGTACTCTTAGCTGTAGGTATAAATATATACTTTTGGCACTGCTCCTTCTGTCCCATGAAGGGACTTCGTGGGGGAATCTACCATTATTCAATGCTCTCCTTAAGTGTAAATGTACTGGTGTCATGCAGGGTTATAGAACTGGTAGACTTCAGAGCCTGACACAATCAGAGGGTCTGCCTCAGGGCTTGCTCCTGCTCATTTCCCCGCGGCCTCACCTGAGGGACACTGGCACAACTGGTAGCCCAATTTGGCCAGATTGAAGACAGGCTTCTGTACCTTCTCCATATGCTCCTGTCCCACCACAGATGAACTCAGAGCAGAGTCAGTCAGTAGGGCGAGCCAGGAGCAAAAGGACCTTCCTTCTCCCTCTGTAAGCCCCCACCACCAAATGGGGCTTTATGGGGCTGAGAGAACCCTATTCCCACATTCCAGGCTGGACCCAAGGTCTGTCATGAGAAATCAGAGAGCAAGGGGAGGAAGCGTCTGTAGACACGTAATGGGAGAGTACAAGGACAGATTTGGGATTTGCTTGTGACATAAGCAAATGGGAAATAACTTATAGGCTCTTTTCTGAAAGCCAGACAGACCTTCACCACAGCGATCCATGCAGATGTTCCAGGGATCCACTTACCAGAGACTGTGATAGTCTTGACTGTGGTCTTATTGAGCCGAGTGCCAGAGTTATAGGCGAGGCAGGTATAGGATCCACTATCATTCGCAGTGATGTTGGGGATAAAGAGCTCCTGTGTGAATGGCTGGGGCCTCCCGTTGATAAACCAAGAATACTGTGCAGGCGGGTTAGAGGCTGCGTGGCAGGAGAGACTGAGGTTGGCCCCTGGATGGTAAGAGGAGTCTGAGGGGGAAATGGTGGGGGCGTCCGGGCCATCTGGAGCAAAGAGAATAAAGCCACAGGTGATGCAATCCGAGGGAAACCGAAGCTCCTGGTCTGTATTAGGGCCACAGTGTCCCACTAGGCTGGGTCCCAACCTCATTTTAAAAAGTCCAAAGCCCCCTGTGTTCACTGAGCCTGGGTCTGAGACATTCACCTGTTTCCCCTCTCAGGGAGAAGCAGCCTGTCCTCTCCTAGTCTTGGCTTAGGCTGGGGCTGCCCAGGTTTGCCTGGGACAAGAAGCCATGGCCAGCCTGGGGGTCCAGCTGAGAGTCATGGACTCGGACCCCAGAAGGATGGATGTGGCCTGGCCCCCGGCATGTGGATTTGGGCTGGCAGCCTGGGCCAGGTAGGAAGGGAAGTTACTTACAGAGAACATTCAGGGTGAATGGGTCACTATGACCGGCACTCACTGGGTTCCGAGTTTCACACTCATAGGGTCCTGTGTCATCCCTTGTGACACCGTGTATAGTGAGAGTCCTGTTGTCCAGGGACAGCTGCAGCCTGGTGCTGGCCGAGAGGCTCTCATTGTTTACTGACCACAGGTGGCTTGTGCTCTGAGTCTGAGGTCCACACGTTAATACAACAGAATCCACATTCTCCACGGGATCAGAGTTGTTGCTTGCGATGTTGGGTTTGGGTAACTCCGCTGTGCAGACAACAGAAAGAACGTTGCCCTGAGTGGTACCTGTGATTCCTCCACAGGCTCTCAAATCAGAGTTGGCATCTCTCACCTCTCAGTGAACCTGAGTCCTTCAAAGAATAAGGCAGGTCTGTGTAGCTCAAGACAAATGCAAGAGGATCTGAGCGCTCAGAGAACACAGGCCACCTGCTCTCTGTCTGAGAGCAAGCACAGACTTTCTCAGGTCAAAGAAGCATCAGGGTTTGGTTGTGGAAGACATAGCACAAAGTCAGAGACCACGCTGGGCCTCTCCTGGTTCTTCCCTGACCAACTGACTATCTGACCAACCTCAGAGGCCACACCTGGAAAGTGTAGGTGCTGAGGTCCTTTCTACTGCACAGACCTAACACCAGTCAAGCTACAGGTGTTGTCCTTGAGGCCTTGTTTCCAGGGTTGTCCTGGAGATGGGCAATGATGGGCCTTCCCAGAGCTCATAAGCCTGGAGAACACTGGACAGCATGGCCTGGAAGCGGGTATTTGAGCAGAAGTCATGCCAGCGGACACCAGGGGCAAGCCTGGAGGTCAGTCCAGCACTCAGGCTGCAGGGCCACGAAGTAGGACGGTTCCGCCCAGGTGTTCCATGGTGACTGACCTGAGACAGTGGTGGAGCAGAGTCAAGACTAGAAATGATCCAGAAAAGAGTGAGGGGGACAGGCAGGGCCTGGCTGGCTTTGGCAGAGAACTATGTGCTCTGCTCTCGGTCTTTAAAGTCTCTTTTCCCACTGCAGAGGCCAATGAGAACCATGCTGGTCTTTCCTGAAATACAAGTGGGTGTTTTCAAATGCAGAAGGGGTGCCTGGTGGGAAGTGGAGGGGTGGGGGGAGGGTGCCTGGCCTTCATGGACCATTTGTAAACACAGTTATGAGATAGAAATTTGAGAAATTAAGTGGTTTCCATGTGAAACTCAGTATTGATACCCGAAAAATCTAAGACCCATTTCTGGAGGAATGTCTCCCTAGGGAGCACTATATGTTGTAGACCAAGTTCTGCAGTCCAACCAGGATCACATGATGAATGAAGGAAGACGTTATAGTGGGTTTGAAATCAGTGACTCCCTGGGTAGAGAAAGAGAAGTGAATCCTGTTAAGAAACAGAATTGATGAGGGAAAGTCTGAGGTGCCTCTGTTATATAAAGGGAGGAATGATACCAAATTAGTAGAAATGATATGCGTTATGTTAGTAAATTTAGGAAAGAAAGTCCCTGCCACCAATTTCTACAGTCAGAATGGAAAGAAACCCAATGCTTGTATGTGGCTTTCTTTTGACCTCAGGAAACACAAGTTTGATCCAATTTACCCAAATTGGGCAGCATCTAAGTGAAAGGACAGGAACTGGTGGATCTCACCATGTGAGAGGGTTCCACCCTATGGTAAAGGCGTCCTCAAGAGCACCCATGTATGTGTGTGAAATAGGCAGTGAACCAGTCAGAAGGCGCAGGGTCTGGCCAGCCCCACCGTGGGAGGGTCCGGGGAACCACTGGGAAGAACGAGAGCCTCACCAGGACGAGGACGTGAGTCAGGAGTAAAAGGCATGAGATGAGCCCATGAGCTTTTGGGGACCGCAGACCTGCCCCTTCTGCCTCTGACTCCCTGCTGGAGTCCTGTAGAGAGTAGATCAAGGGGTCACATGTCCTTGTCATGTGGTGTGTTCCACTTGATGGCGTCACGGAGGGAAAGAGCCCTGGATGAGGGCACCGTGAAAGCTCGCTCTGCTGGTGACCTGGGGAAACTGGCTCCTGATGGAGCCCAGCAGAGGATGCTGCTCGGATTTCTGTGTCCTTTACTGTTGCCTGGGAGGGCGGGCCGGGCCACAGGTGTTAGCAGAAGAATCCAGGCAAGGCTCAAGGGTAAAGGAGGCTGTGCAGAGCAGGGGTAGTCCCAGCTGGAAAGGAGGAGGAGGAGGAAGATGAGGGACATGGACGGAGAAGAGAGCCAGAAATGTCCCAGGCTGTGAGCAGTGAGGGTTACAAGTGACTTCAAAGACTCCGGGCACTAAGAGCCCACAGTTGACCCAGGGGCAGGATCCTCCCATGGCTGAGCAATACCACAGTCCTCATGAGACTCTCTGGCAGTGGCCTGAGGGGCTGGTGGTCAGAGGGATAGAACATGGGTCTCAGCCCCTGGAGGGACAGGGAACAGGTGTGGCTAGAACCTCCTAGAATTCTGCATCCAGGGACCAGACTCTGAAGAGACTGGGAATCATTCATTCATTCCTTCCCTCCTTCACGAAAGAGCAATTGAGTTGTTGGGCCCTGTGCCGGTTAGGGGTATGCAGTCGGGAGGAGAGGGCAGAGTCCTTTCCCTTACACTCTAGTGGGATGCCATCAGTACATCAGGAAACAATAAGTGATTCCAAGTCCGATGCAGGAGCCGTGGATTGGCCACCTGAGGGGAGGCCTGGGCATTCCCCAACTGACTCTGGTCGTTGATGAATTTAGTTCTTGAGTAAAAACATTAATTGTTCATTTGCTTTCACCTCCCAGACCAGAACATCTACCTTGAGCTGTGGATCCCTAAGAAGAAAGGTCTGATCCAACAGCTGGTCTCAGGGTCCATAGATGCCTGATAAGGCCCCTGGGTGGAGGAGACAGGCCTGTACCTGCAGACAGACCTTGTAGGATTGTGATCTGCCTGTGTGACTCTGATTCAATGTCTGCGTCGCCCTGTGCCTCTGTTTCCCCTCAATAAAATCAAGTAAATGGTCTCAGGCTTGCTGTGTTGTCTGTAATTAACCTTAGATCTTTCACAATTACCTGACCTAAGGCTTGGTATAGAGGAGCTGCCCAGATAAACATCTGTTTCTTGCCTCCATGAGAGACGGCTCCCTGGGCCTGATCCCTGGTGTGGGAGTTGCTGCCAGGAGCATCTTCTCTCCTCTGTTCCTCCCTGGGGGTGCTGACCTTCCTCGGGGGTCTCCTATCCCCCAGGGCAGTCAGACAGTGGCCCAGGGACCTTGCCTATCTCTGCTCTCCACCCCAAGTCTCAGGTGAAGGACCAGGCTCTGTCCCTCCCCAGATGTGGCTCTTGGTGCCGAGCTCTGGCTGGTGACCAGCTCAGTAACCTCAGGACTCAGGCAGCCAGGAAATCATTGCTCCCTGTCCCCCCTGCCAGGAAGCCAAAACCCACATCTGGCATGGACTCCCCATAGTCACTGGAGTCAGGAGCCCTGAGTCAGGGATCTGGGCAGGGGCTTTCTGGGCTGAGCTTCTCCGTGAGGATCCCATGGGTCCCTCAGGCCTGGCCCTGAGTGAGCCCTGAAGGGTCTTTCTCAGAGTCATGGTCACGGGGAGGAGCCCAAGGGGCTGGACTGAATCTGTCTCCCTCTGCTGAGTTATTCCCATCAGACTGGTCCTTCTCTTTGCAGCAAATGTCTGCTGGGGCTGGAATCCAGGAAGGGAATTCGGATCTTAGGAAGTTTGTCTCCACTGTGTGTGTCCTGCACTAAATGCTTGAACCCTCCCTCCTCCCAACAAAACGTAATGCAGAGAAGGGGATGGAGGCCCTGTGAATCTTGTTGTGTGAAGTAGAATTCACCCCACTCAACACCAGAGGCGAGAGAGGAATTACTCACGGAATACACGTAGCTGTCCTGTTACTTGTTCAATTTGAACATCTCTCTTTGTGATTTGTACAGTGTAGTATCCTGTGTCGTTCAGGGTGATGTTCTGGAACAGCAGGGATCCATTGGGGTATATTGTCTCTCTGCCGCTGTGTGCAGGCCCTGGGGTAGTTACTTGTGTGTCTACTGCATATAATACAATTTGATGTCTGGGCACTACAGTTTCCCCTTTGAACCAGTTATAGCCTATAGCATCCCCAGGCGGATTGTTGACTCGCAGAAGAACATCCTTCCCTTCAGCCACACTGGGCGGCACCGATTCCACAGTGACTTGGGCAGTGGTGGGCGGGTTCCAGAAGGTTAAGAGTGAGACTAGGAGGTAAGAGAGTAGATGGATCAGTGTTTGGACCTATGTGTTGGGAGGGAAAGCTAGGGCCCTGGAGACAGAGCAGGTCCTAATCCCCCAGCCTCAGTGTGTCTGTGTGAGTGTGTGTCTCCTGCTGGTCAAGGTCAGCAGCATGACCACACTACTTCAGCGCCTCTGAACTTAATTTCCTCTGTTTAGAACGCTCACCCTCACATGTCTGTCGCTCACTCCCTCCCTGCCCTCAGATACCTGCTCCCACTCAGGGGGTCCTGGGGAGAGGCCTGCCCTGAGTGCCTCCTCTAAAGACCCTCAGTCTTCACGTTCTGACCTTTACCTGCTCTGTTCCCTTCCTGGTGCTTATCAGTACCTGACATCACATTCTAGACGTCTCTGCGTGTCTGTCTTCCTCCCCATAGAAGTGAGCTTGGGGAGGGCAGGGACTCCTCTGATCTGTGCTGTACCCCAGGGGTGGGGCAGGCTGTAAATACCCGGGGATGAATGAAGGTGGCCCCAGGGCTCTCCAAGTCTGGCGTTTGTCTGTCATGATCTCAGGTTGGTGGGAAGGGGCAGCGATTAGGGTCCCTGGTTGTTGTGATCAGTTTCAGAATTCAGTCCTCAGTGATGAGTAACTTGGGAAACAGCCCTTGGCTCCCCACTTCCAGATCATGAGATTTTCCCGTCGCTGAGCCGGCTCCCCCGTCCTGCCCTGCTCCCCTGTCCCCTCTCAGAGCCCTGTCCTCCCCGGAAGACCCCAGCCAGCCTCTCTCTCCCATCCTCCCGCCCCCTCGCAGGGGATCATCCCTCTCACCTGCCAGCAGGACCTCCTGCCAGGGGACGCGTCCTCCTCGGGGAGGGGCCGACGGGGGCTCCATGGTGCCTGCTGCCCGGTCCGTCCCTCCCTCTGGGGGAAGAGCTTCTGCTCCAGCAACGCTCAGGAACACTGCCGTCCTGTCCTGTCAGCTCTGCCGTCCTTCCTCCCTCTGAGCTGAGCGGCCTCTGGGGGCAGGAGCGCTGGGCGGGGTCACGTGGGCCGGGGGCGGGGTCTCTGCCAGGGCCCCGCCCCTCCCCTCCCCTCCCCTCCCCTCCTCTCTCGTCTCATCCTCTCCCCTCCCTCCTGACTCCCTTGTCCTCTTCTTCCCCTTTCATTTCCCTCTACATTTTAGATCCCTGGGAACAGCTGAGGCCTCTCCGTCTTCAGCTGTGCTTTCCCGCCATATGCGAGAGCGCGCACACGCCCTTGTTGGACAAACACAAGCCTGTGGCGGCGTCCGGTGACCCTCACAGCTCGGGGTCAGGGTGCAGGGTCAGCGCCCCCACAGCCCTCTCTCCTCCCCGTGTGGCTTTCCCTTCAGAGCAGGAGCCTGGGCGCTGCCTCAGGAACTCTTGTCACAGGGATGTCACCCCCACTTTGCGCTGGAATCACCTGTGGAACTTTATCAAGACTGTGGTTGCCCAGGTGACACTTAGAAATGCTGCTTCCGCAGATGCCCAGCCGGGCTGAGACCCCATGATGTGGGGGTGGGGCCGCCTCTCCCTCTCCTGAGCCCACAGAGGGTCTGCAGATGCTGTGAAAATGCAGATTCTGACTCAGCAGGTGTGGTGTGGACCCCAGAGTCTGCCTCTAACAAGCTCCCAGGTGATGCTGATCGTCCTGGCCCGGGGAGCACACTCTGAATAGCCAGACAGAGGGGGACCCGGTTTCCTTACAGGATGGCCCTTCTCCCTACTCCTCTGCTGAGTCCTGGCCTTGAGTCTGTGGGCACCACACAGAGCCCCAGGGACCCCAAATCCAGGGGATTATTTCTGTTGTAACAGAGAAGCCCAGCTGGGCACCAGTCTCCCCAGATGACTCTGGGGATGAGGAAGGGGCAGGCCGGGTCATGATGAGTGAGGGACCCACGGCCCATCCCTGGGTGTCCCCATCCTGGCCTCTGCTTCCAGGGACAGAGACCCAGGACCAGGTGTCTCAAGAGCTCAGTTTCCAGGTGCAGTGGGGGTTTCCTGTGTGTCCTGGGAAGAGAGGAGTTGGTGGGAGGTCAGGTGGCTGGGGCTCCCTGGTCCTCAAAAGGGTAGGTTTTGAGGAGACCATCCCTCTCCGTGTCTATTGGCTGAACTGTGGCCCAGAGACTGTCCATGTGCCCCTGAGCGTCCTGGGCAGCCTGTGTGCTCTGCCTGCGGGACTTTCCCGTGGTCACCCTGCCTCCCCCATGGGTGGTACAAGGCAATGAGCGATGGCTGCGCAGGGACCCTTGTCAGATCAGGGAGCTCCTAGGGCTCTAGAAGGAGCGGGCAGGACAGAACTGGCACGTGGGAGGGATCCAGAAGGGTCTGTTGCAGAAAGGGATGGAAAGCAGGCTCCTTCTCCACCTCCTTAGCCAAAGCCAGCTTCAGGGTTTAATTTCCTGTGTTGTCTGCATGTTCCTATGTTGGCCCCTGGAGGCGATGCTGGGGGCTGCACCAGGGAAGTGTGAGCTGACCAGGCTCCCAAGGATGTGTGTGGGCTGGGAGCCTGGGCAGAGGTGAGGGACTGGTCAGCCTGGGTCCTGGTCTGCCTGACTCCATCCCAGGGCAGCATGAGCCCAGGGAGAGGACAGGTAGTATTCAGAAGATTCCTGATCCTGTGTCAGGAGAATTGTCAACCCAGAGAGATATGCTCCCTCAGCAGGAGCTCTCTGTCCTCAAGATTTCAAGGAATGACCTTGTAGGGGTCTTTTGAGACTTTGGGGAAAAGGCACCAGCCTGGGCGGCTGAACACCACCATGCTCTGTCTCCCCATCACAGCACTGGGGAGATTCCTTCCAAGTCATCTGTGTCCCTGTCTCTGCTCTGCTCTAGGTCTCCCCACAGGAATCAGGCGGCTCCACCCGGAGACTCAGCTGAGGGATCCCAGGGCTGCCTCTGTGAAAGGGGAGGAGACCCTCAGACCAGGGGAAACACAGGCACATCCTGGGTTCTTCTGTCCTGCATACCCGGGACATTCCCCTCGTTCCCCAGGATTCCTTGGGCTAATGAGAAATTTTCAGGGAGACATAGCAGGTGTCCCCACAGACCAGGGGCCCTCAGGATGAGGACTTGCCTCTGGACGTGTTTGGAGGTCAGTGTAGGGCTCTGAACTCCCCTGGTAGTAATTGCACCTGGGGTGGTGATCCAGAATTTGTGGCAGGTCAGATCTCTGAGAGAAGAGGAAGGACACAGGCTGCACACCCAGGCCCTCTGGGGAGAGAAGTCAGTCACAGAGATGGGAGGGGCGTGTCCGTGTTCTGGGAATGAATGGGGGTCTGACCTCTAACTGTAGGGGGTCTGACCTCTAACTGTAGGAGGCCCCTGTCGTCCCTTCTGAATCTAGGAGGGGGAAAGGCCCGACAGCCTTATAGGGACAGCCTCGGGCACGTGCTGCCCCCCCCCCCATGTCAGCAGCCTGGGTCTGCGGGGAAGAGGCTCCGACCCCAGGTGAATGGGGGTGACTTCCATTGTGTGGTTTCCCTCATGCTTTCAAGGACTATTTACAGCGCTTCTGTGACGTGTCAGGCCCTGGGCTGGGTCCTGGGAGCTCCACAGAGAACAGGACAGATGTGGGCCCTGGATTCGTGGGGTTTCCCTTGGAACAGGGCCACGGGCAGTCAGGAAATCATGGCACGAGGAGTCAATTAGAATCAAGAGAAGGGCCAGGAAGGGAAAGTGCCTGGTGGGTCTGGAGCATGTGAGGGGCTCTTAGCTGATGGGGGTACCCATGGAGCACTCCTGAGAAAGTGACCTGGGGCTGAGACCGGAAGTGTGAGTGGACCTTCGCCCCTCTAAGGGCAGAGGGTGTGGAGGGACTAGTTGCCCATAGAGGGACCAGTCTCAGCGGGCAGATGCCTGGCTGGCTAGAGGGGCTGACGGGGTCCAGTGTGGGGAGCCTGGAGAGCCAGGAGGACGGTGACTGGGTGAGGCTGGGGAGGGTCAGACCCCGCTGGGCTGTGGGTGCTGAGGAAGGCGCCCAGGTGTAGAGCAGCTCTGCCGCCCTCTGGTGGACTGTGCAGAAAATGCGGAAGAAAAAGTCCCTCTATCCAGTTGTATCTTTTTAAAAATTTGTACTTGAAATAATATTTCATATATGGATGTATAATTTTTAATCACTTTATTGAAGTATAGTTGACATATAAGTAATTCAACATATTGAAAGTATACAATTTAATAAGTTTTGCCACGGGCATGCAGAGATGTCATTCCTAGGTGAAGATATATGCCCCTTCTTCTCAAAAATCTCGTGTCCTCTTTATTCTCTTCATTCCCACCCCTTTGACCCTCCTTCCCCATGTTCCCATGAAACCTTATATTTGTTTTGTTGTTATAGATTAGTGTGCATTTTTTAGAATTTTGAGAAGTGGAATCATACACTATAACTTAGGGCTGGGTTTGAATTCTTTACTCAGGATCATTTTTCTTAATTAACCCATTGCTCCATGTTATTGCAAGAATCCACAGTTTTTCTTCTTTCTTTTTTTTTAAGATTTTATTTATTTAAGAGACCAAGAGAGATAGCGAAAGACGGAACACAAGCAGGGGGAGTGGGAAAGGGACAAGCAGGCTTCCCGCTGAGCGGGGAGCCCGATGCAGGGCTTGATCCCAGGACCCTGGGACAGGGCAGGCGCTTAACAACTGAGCCACCCAGGCGCCCCCAAAGTGTTTTTTTCTTTTTTATCCCTTAGTTTTGTTACATTGGAAGGATGCAGAAAGTTTTTTTTTATTCATTCGCTCATTTATGGACATTTATGTTGTTTCCAACTCTGGGCGAATACAAATACACCTGCCAGGAACTTTTGGGCAGGAGTCTTAGAAGCGGGCATGTGCTTTCATTTCTCTTGGGTAGAGTTCCACTCAGGAGTGCAGTGAGGGGATCACTAAGGAGGCACACATTTAATTTTTTGAAAAACAGGCTACACTGTTTTCCAAAGTACTTTTAATTGTACTTTCTCACTAGCGATGTACGAGAGTTCCCAGTTGCCCCCCATCCTCAACAACACTTAGTTTGCGAAGTCTTTAATATTTCAGCCAGTCTACTCTATGTGAAGTGGCATCTCAGTGTGCTGTTTTGGTTTTGACTGTGATAACATTTTTCATTTTCTTTTATCTTTTTTTACTTTATTAACACTGCATATGAAATCTGTCCTCTTTTTTTTTTTAAAGATTTTATTTATTTATTTGAGACAGAGAGACTGAGAGAGAGAGAGCACATGAGAGGGGGGAGGGTCACAGGGAGAAGCAGAGCCCGATGTGGGACTCGATCCAGGGACTCCAGGATCATGACCTGAGCTGAAGGCAGTCGCTTAACCAACTGAGCCACCCAGGCGCCCCGAAATCTGTCCTCTTAATAGTGTTCCATTATATGTATGTGCAAATTTTCCTCAACCATTTGTCTTTCAGTGGACATTTAGGTTGTTTCCATATCTCAGCTACTGTGAATAGTGTTGCAATGAACACAGGTGTGCTAATATCTCCTCGAGATCTTGATTTCAGTTCTTCTGGAGAAATGCCCGGAAGTGGGATTGCTGGATCTTAGTGTAGTTGTATGTTTAATTTTTTGAGGAACCTCCATACTGTTTTCAGAGTGGCCGGGCCAGTTTGCATTCTCTGCAATGGGGTGCAAGGGTTCCAATTTCTCAACACCCTCACCAACACTTGTCTTGTTTTTTAATTAAAGATTTTTATTTATTTATTTGACAGAGAGATAGAGAGAGCCAAAGAGCACAAGCGGGGGGAATGACACAGGGAGAAGGAGTTGCAGGCTCTCTGGAGCCCAGCATGGAGCTCGATCCCAGGATCCTGGGATCGTGACCTGAACTGAAGGCAGACGTTTAACTGACGAAGCCACCCAGGTGCCTGGTCTTTCTTTTCTTTTCTTTTCTTTTTTTTTTATGATAGCCATTCCAACAGGTGTGTGATAATATCTCACTGCAGTTTTGATTTGCATTTCCCTTTTCTCATATGCCCGTTGGCCATAGAAGAAATATCTACTCAAGTTTTTTTTAAGATTTTCTTTATTTATTTGACAGAGAGAGACACAGTGGGAGAGGAAACACAAGCAGGGGGAGTGGGAGAGGGAGAAGCAGGCTGCCCGCGGAGCAGGGAGCCCGATGTGGGGCTCGATCCCAGGATGCCTGGACCATGACCCAAGCCAAAGGCAGATGCCCAACAACTGAGCCACCCAGGCGCCCCTCTCCTCAAGTCTTTAGCCCATTTAAAATCAGGTTATTTGTGTTTTACTATCTGGTTGTAGGAGTTCCTTACATATGTTGGATATTAACCCCTTATCTGATACATGGTTTGAAAATAGTCTCTCCCAGTTGGTAGGTTGCTTTTTCATTGTGTTGATGGTTTCCTTTGCTGTGCAGATGCTTCTTAGTTTGATATAGTCCCACTTGTTTATTTTCGTTTCTGTTGCCTGTACTTTTGGTAATGATATCATGAAGTCATTGCCAAGACCAATGTCATCAAGCTTTTCCCCTATGCTTTCTTTGGGAGTTTTCTGGTTTGGGTCATATATTTAAGTTGTACATCTATTTTGAGTTGATTTGTGTGTATGTGTAAAGTAAGTGTGTCATTTCATTCTTTTGCTCTGTGGATATCCAGTTTTCCCAACATCGTTTGTTGAAGAGACTGTCCTTTCCCGCTGTGATTCTTGACACCCTTGTCAAAGATCCGCTGACCCTATATAAATGCACGGATTTAGTTCAGGGCTCTCTGTTCTGTTCCATTGTTCTGTCTTTCTGTCAATACTGTTACCTGATGGGGAACCTGGGTGGCTCAGTTGTTAAGTGTCTGCCTTCGGCTCAGGTCATGATTCCAGGGTCCTGGGATCGAGCCCTGCATCGGGCTCCCTGTTCAGCGGGGAGTCTGCTTCTCCCTCTCCCACCCCCACTCCCCCTGCTTGTGTTCCCTCTCTCACTGTGTCTCTCTCTGTCAAATAAATGAAAAAAATCTTTAAAAAAGAAAAATACTGATACCTGACAGAGAAGCGGTTCCGAACTCAGGTTCGGCTGCTCATGCCTCAAAAATCAACACTTGAGAGACAAGTGATGGTTGGTAAGGAAAGGTTGCTTTTTTTTATATATATAATTTTATTTTATTATGTTATGTTAGTCACCATACATTACATCATTAGTTTTTGATGTAGTGTTCCATGATTCATTGTTTGCGAGTAACATCCAGTGCTCCATGCAATATGTGTCCTCCTTAATACCCATCCCTGGGCTAACACATCCCCCCACCTCCCTCCCCTCTAAAACCCTCAGTCTATTTCTCAGAGTCCATAGTCTCTCATGGTTCGTCTCCCCCTCCAATTTCCCCGCCTTCATTTTTCCCTTCCTACTATCTTCTTCTTCTTCTTCTTTTTTTTTTTAACATTTTGATTTGTTTCAGGGGTACAGGTCTGTGATTCATCAGTCTTACACAATACACAATGCTCACCATAACACATACCCTCCCCAACATCCATCACCCAGCCACCCCATCTCTCCCACCCCCCATCACTCCAGCAACCCTGTTTGTTTCCTGAGATTAAGAGTCTCTTACAGTTTTTCTCCCTCTCTGGTTTCATCTTGTTTCACTTTTTCCTCCCTTCCCCTATGATCCTCTGTCTTGTTTCTCAAATTCCTCATATCAGTGAGATCATATGATACTTGTCTTTCTCTGATTGACTTATATCACTTAGCATAATACCCTCTAGTTCCATGCATATCATTGCAAGTGACAAGAGTTCTTTTTTTTGATGGCTGCATAATATTCCATTGTATATATAAATACCACATCTTCTTTATCCATTCATCTGTTGACGGACATCTTGGTTCTTCCCATAGTTTGGCTATCGTGGACATTGCTGCCATAAACATTTGGGTACACATACCCCTTTGGATCACTACATTTGTATCTTTGGGGTAAATACCCAGTAGGGCAATTGCTGGGGTGTAGGGTAGCTCAATTTTCAACTTTCTGAGGAACCTCCATACTGTTTTCCAGAGTGGCTGCACCAGCTGAAATTCCCACCAACAGTGTAGGAGGGTTCCCCTTTCTCCACATCCTCGCCAACATCTGTCATTTCCTGGCTTGTTAATTTTAGCCATTCTGACTGGTGTGAGGTGGTATCTCATTGAGGTTTTGATTTGGATTTCCCTGATGCTGAGTCATGTTGAACACTTTTTCATGTGTCTGTTGGCCATTTGTATGTCTTCTTTGCAGAAATGTCTGTTCATGTCTTCAGCGCATTTTTTTTTTTAAGATTTTATTTATTTATTTGACAGAGAGAGACACAGTGAGAGAGGGAACACAAGCAGAGGGAGTGGGAGAGGGAGAAGCAGGCTTCCCACCAAGCAGGAAGCCCGATGTGGGGCTCCATCCCAGGACCCTGGGATCATGATCTGAGCCGAAGGCAGACGCTTAACAACTGAGCCATCCAGGAGCCCCCTTCGGCCCATTTCTTGATTGGGTTATTTGTTCTTTGGGTGTTGAGTTTGATAAGTTCTTTATAGATTTTGGATACTAGCCCTTTCTCTGATAAGTCACTTGCAAATATCTTCTCCCATTCTGTCAGTTGTCTTTTGGTTATGTTGACGGTTTCCTTTGCTGTGCAAAAGCTTTTTATCTTGATGGAGTCCCAATAGTTCATTTTTGCCCTTGCTTCCCTTGCCTTCGGTGATGTGTCTAGGAAGAAGTTGCTGCGGCTGAGGTCGAAGAGGTTGCTACCTGTGTTCTCCTCAAGGATTTTGATGGATTCCCATCTCACATTTAGGTCAGGAAAGGTTGCTTTATTCAGGAAGCCAGTATGCTGGGAAGATGGTGGACTCATGTTTCAAAGACCATGTTTCCTGTCCAGAGGGTTTGGGAGTGGAGGGTGCTTTAAAGGGGAAGGCATGAGAAAAGGGAGGGTGGCTGCATGCAGGAGAAGCAGGTGCCCAGGCGGTTAGTCGTATATGGACACAACCCTGAACAGACTTGCTGGCACCCAGGGCAGCTATTTTCCAATGTAGGCAGGCCTTATCTCCTGGGAAAGTTTGGTCCTTCACTCCTTGAGGCCAGTGGTCTGCAAATCCCAAAAGTAGGTTAGTTCTGCTACAGATCATGGGATGTAAGTCAGCAAGCAAGGGATGAATCCTTAAACCTGGTGGAGGGCTGTCACAATGCCATACTGCTTTCATTACTGCGGTTTTGAAATGTAGTTTGAAATCAGGAAGAGTGATTCTTGCCCAAGTGATTCCAGCTTCGTTCTTCTTGCCCAAGATTTCTTTGGCTATTGGCATATTTTGTGGTTCCATCCAAATTTTAGAATTGTTTTTTTCTCTTTCTCTGAAAAATGCCATTGGAATTTTGATGGCATTGCATTGCATCTGTAGGTCATGTTGAGTAGTATGTATATTTTAACAGTATTAATTCTTCCAACCCATGGACAGGGGATATCTTTTCATTGATTTGCGTGTGCTTCTGTTTCTTTCATCAATGTCTCATAGTTTTCAGTCTACAGATCTTTCCCCTCCTGGGTTACAGTAAGTCCAAATTATTTTATTCTTTTTTCTCTTTTTTTTTTCCAGAGAATTCTTTGAATTCTTTTACTTAGCTGTAAACAAGCTAGTTGCAACATAATTTTTTTTCCATGTGGAGAGCTCTCAATAGTTTCTTAAACAGCAGGAAACATTTGCTGTTCAGTTTCATTGAGAATCTTCCACAGGAAGCATCCCAGCAGAGTGACAGTATCACAATGTTTCTGTCCCACTCTAAGTGTACTACTTTAAAGTGCCCTTGAAATTTTAAAGATTTTTTTTAAAGATTTTACTTATTTATTTGACAGAGACACAACAAGAGAGGGAACACAAGCAGGGGGAGTGGGAGAGGGAGAAGCAGGCTTCCCGCTGATCAGGGAGCCCGATATGG